GTTTTACGACTCTGTACTTCACTGCCTGCTATTGTCTTCTTGCCCTAGAGTCTGTCCTTTAGCGTAGCATTTGTGGTTCAGTGACTCCAGAGCTGCCAACACAGAAGGACAAGAATACAAAGTGTTTGTTCCAGTGTTTTGGCAGCCTCTTCAAATAGTTGTGCTTAGGATCCTGTCTGTGATATGATCATAAATACTCCGTAGTTTTGTTTATTCCCTCACCTCCAGCTGGAGCTGTGACACTTTATTGGATTCAGTCTTGTCTCTTGTCTAGAAAGAATTGTATCTTGTTCATGCATGAGCTGTTTAAAAATGACTCAACGTTGGTAAATAGTCGTGCAGTTTTCCTTTCAGGAGAAGGCCATGCACAGGTTGCTTTGTTTTCTGTCACCCTCTAACCTGTCCGCACTGTAGTCAGACACAGAATCATCAGTGTATGCAGCACCCGTTGTAATTTAAAATAAAATATGAAAAGAAAAGGTTTTGAATCGTTTGCCTCATATTTTGTCTTTTCTCCTTTCTGTTGCCTGCGACACGGCAGCCATCCATTCCTCAAGACAAACTGTTCCTAAGCAGTCTCCATCTTCACAGAGCGAGGGAGCCAACTGTACTGCCTCTTTGGGCATACAGAGTGCTAAGGATTATTGACATTGTAAACTGGGCTTCTAGTATTTCAGTGGAATTTAGCTATACCATAAAATTATTTGATAGAAACATTTGCTTTGTTTGTAAACAATAGTTTGTACTTAATTTATCCTTTGATAATTTGGGCAAGAAATTTCTTCAAGAAAAACAAAGTATCAAACAGTCTTCAGGCTAGGGGAGCTGTGTACCGAAGGCCTCTGCCAAGGGGACCACACTAGGCGAAGGGGGCATAGGAGTGGGTGTTTTTCAGCAGCAAGTGTCTGTCGAGAACCTACTCTGCCAGAATGTGTAGGTAGGTAGGTGCTGGGTTACAGAGGGATTGAAGAGAATGCCACAAAATCAGTCTACCAAGGGGAGTGGCATGTGGGCAGGATGGCAGAAAACACAAGAGATGCTGAAGGTATGACATCCTGGGGGGATGCTAAAGAAAGGATGAGCCAGGGAGATAAAGTGCCAAGCAAGCATCAATCCCCAGCACTCAGATGAACAGCAGTATGTGGTGTGGGCACTTGTGTCTGCAGCCAGGGACGCAAACGTAGATCCCTGAGGCCCCCAGCACAGCATGGCCTACCTGGAAAGTAATGAGAGACCCCATTCCCCAAACAGGACAGCACCTAAGGGATGACAACTGAAGTTGACCTCTGGTCTACATATAGACACATAAAAGTTGACTCTTTTTTTTCTCTATTTGAGTGATACTGAGGTCATTTTTAAAAAAGGCAAAGTAGATGTGCTTTCTCATGGGCTTACCTCTGACAGTGTTGGTAATGATAACTCTGAGGAGTCGGGAGCAGGACCAGTGCAGCTATAGCACAATGAAGCATTTGAAAGAGAAACATTGGGCTGGAGAGATGGCTCAGAGGTTAAGAGCACTCACTGCTCTTCCAGAGGTCCTGAGTTCAATTCCCAGCAACCACATGGTGGCTCACAGCCATCTGTAGTGAGATCTGGTGCCCTCTTCTGGCCAGCAAGCAAACATACAGACAGAACACTGTATACATAATAAATAAATCTTTAAAAAAAGAAAACATTTTTAGTTAATTCCTAATTAATTAGAAAATGTTGTCCTAATTCAGCTAAAAGAGCATTAGAAGGTAGTAGATGTCCTTAGGTATGGGGATGGCATCCTGTAAGCCATCTAGTTGTCCTGCTACTATCAGGCCCAGTGAGGTTTGTGGCCTTGTCTTTCTGCAGCAGCACTCAGATGAAGGACTACTTCCAGCCTATTGTAGTAGAGGTTCAGTTCACACTCTAGTCTGCTTGATAGACTCTGAGGACAATTCCTACTCAGATAATCAGGCCAGATCTTGAGCAATATTTAGAAAAATGTCCACATCAAAGGGAAGTAAGGTGCTTAGAATCAGAAGGTCCAAAAGATCCAAAGCCCACTCAGTGCAGCCAACAAAGGCAGTTCAACAAAAGAAGTGAAACAGAGTTGGAAGAATCATGAGGGCCTGTGGGTCCCAGGCTGTGCACCCTTCAAGCTAGCCTGTAGCCAGGGGGCAAAGTTGGGTTGTCATGTTGGAGAGTAGAGATGTGGGAAGCTGCCTGCTCTGGTTGCTGCAGACTGCCGATTGTGAGGGTCCAAAGGCTAAAAATCCATCCAGTACTGCCTTTGGGGTCCTCCAGTGTCCTAAATGGAGAACTTTACTCGGAACACAACAGTGATTTGAATGTCAATCTGTTTCTTTAAACATTTTTAATCCTAAAATGCTGCTTAGAATAAAAAACAGAAATATACAAATTTGAAAGAAGAGTTTACAGCGAAAAGCGCAGAAGAAACTTGAATGAATGAGAATACACACCAGGCTCCAGAACAGGGCCTGTCAGCGGAAAGCTACTGGTGCTGTCACGCTAAAAATGTGATACCATCTTAACAAAATAAACCAAGGGGATGTCAAGTTGTGAGAAGAAAATAGCTGAAACATGTTGGGGTGGGGAGAGGATAAATCAAGTATTTTAATCCTATTGTAGAAGACTCTATAAAAACTGCCATTGAGTGCATGAATGGACAGGCAAGGAGATTAGAATAGTGAATTTAGAAATAGACACAAATAGATGAAAACAGTAGCATGGTCACTGTGGCATCCAGAACCAAGGTAAAATAAGTTGGGCCCTTCTCTAGTATTGGAGCCACCGAGAAACCTAGAAAATGTCAAGTTGGTTCTGCATCTCACACTATGAGCCAATATGTACTTCAAAATGGGCAAAGATACAGGTTTTTTTTTTAAAGCAAAAACAAAACAAAAAAAAACCATAAGCACCAGAAGAAATATGTACAATCTTAAATCCTAGGGGAGTGGGAAGGAAGTTTGTTTTTTTTTTTTTAACATAGACTCAAGTCCAGGAGTCATAAATAAAGATTCATCAATGTGAAACTGAAATTTTAAATCATCTTTGAGATAAAAAGGTACCATAAACAAAGTCAGAATTCTGCCAATTTTACAGTGAGAATACTAATAACAGAAAAGGCTCCTGGAAACAAATACAGTAGAAAAGTGCACAAAATGAATATGGTAGCTTTGAGACATTCTCGGTCTCATTCATTATGAGAGATACAAGCTAAAGACCTTTTAGGAAACACTGAATGGGGTCGGGCAGTGGTGGCACACGCCTTTAATCCCAGCACTCAGGAGGCAGAGGCAGGCAGATAGATCTCTGTGAGTTTGAGGCCAGCCTGGTTTACAAGAGCTAGTTCCAGGACACTACAGAGAAACCTTGTTTTGAAAAACCAAAAAAAAAAAGAAAAGAAAAGAAACACTGAATGGTAAGATTCCCAATGTCAGCTCACCATGCTGGTGGGCTAAAGGAAATGGGCATTTCTTCGATTTTGCTGGAGCAACTTAAGCTGATAAAACCACTATGAAGAGATTTTTTTTTTCCTATTTTGTTTAGTCCTGGCTAGCCTGGAACTGACCATGTTCTCTTTATCTGCTGGGATAAAGGCGTGCGCCACCATACCCAGAGAGAAAAGAATTATGAAAGCTTGTGTGAAGTTAAAATGCATGTCTGACAGCTTCACGTTGAACACCTGTTATTCTAGTACTTGGGAGTTGGAGGCAAGAAGACCGGGAGTTCAAGGTCATCCTTGTCTACACAGGCAGTCGGAAACCAGCGCGGCCTGTCTGAAACCCTGCCTCTGAAAAGCCAAGATAGAACACATATATCCACCTATTCCATTTGTTCTGTCCTCCTCTTCCCACTTCCTGTCGCCAAACTAATGAGTGTGATTATGCAGGCGAAGCACCGAGTAGAAAATGCCTGTGCTTCCGTACTCCAGAATGTTGCTTGGGAATACATGAATAGCAACTAGGCATTGGGTTCAATACCACGTAACCTAAGGCTTCATGTATTACCTCATTTCACCCTCTAGGCAACCTTAGGAATGATGTCACTGATGATCGCTGATCACGTGGAGTGGGGTTGGTGATGTGTGTGCCTGGAGTCCAGGCCTTTGTTACTTACAGTGAGGTGCACCTTTTCGGAAGTGGTGCAAACTGCCCTAGGAACGTAGGCAACTGTGGAGACTGACTAAGGGGCTATGTGTGAAGTTTGAGAAAAACCATTTAAAAAAGAGGGAACCCCATATCCCAAGGCTACAGGGCCTGGAGAATCCCTGAGGGCCGGGAAAACGGAAGGGAAAGTATTATTACTAAGAAATAATAATAATAATTAAATAGTACTTCTAAAAGCGCTACCCTTCTATGAGTAGCACTGATAGTTTCTATCAAAACCACACGACACAATCAGAACCATTCCTGTGATGCTTGTAATCTAATTCTACACAAAGGGCAGCATCAGAGCCATAGAAACACGTAAGGCAATGTAGTTCTGTATATGAGAAAGCCCTGGGATCTTGTTTGTACTGATGGAGGTGCCCCAGTGACCTGCATTGAATTCTACCCCTTTACAATTTTTTTTTTGTGTGTCTTACTCCATAATTCATACTTAATGGAGAAATTTTGTTTTAAATTTTAAAGAAGAAATGCAGCTTTGGTGGCATCCTATTCGGTACTTTTTTGTTCCTATGCATAAAGTCACTATAATAGCTGGTGCCTGAAAGATGGAAAGTGACCGCTGTTGAGCGGATTTCTTGTTTCTCTAGTAGTGGGGTCAGAACCCCAAGGCTATGGGGTATGCCAGACAAGCCCATCACCAAATGAGCTGTGTCCTCCAATCCTAATGGTTCTTCATAGTCACTTTCACTTTTCCGTTTAGTAGGAGCTGACCAGAGAGGCTGTGAGTGAGTGTCCCGCGTGTCAAGGAAAATCCCAGGTCTGGGCTGGCAACCTTGTTTGCTCTGTACCGCGTCTCCAGGCACCACAGTCAGAAGTACGGAAGGCGGGCCGGCGCCACGCGAGCGCGCTCAAGTTTGGCCGCCGCCGCTCGCCATAGCCGGGCTCCAACATGGCGGCTCCCCAGGATGTCCACGTCAGGATCTGTAACCAGGAGATTGTCAAATTCGACCTGGAGGTGAAGGCACTTATCCAGGTACAGATTCTTAGGGCCCCGCCGGGCTCTCGCTAGCCGCCTTGGCATTTTCCAAAATCTTCGCGCCCGCCCAGCTTCCCAGGCAGGCGACCCTCAGGCGCCATTCGGTCGGGTCTCCGTGATCGCAGACCTTTAGCGCTTTTCATGTGCATACAGTTGGTTCGCCCGCCTCTCAGCTATCCCCACGCCCCTCTCCTGCTCCCTGACTTTACCGCCAAGGTTGGGGCTAACCTGTTCCTGTCTCGTCAGTAGCCCCGCCCTGCCACCTCCCCCATCGCCTCGTACACCTACTTCTCTGTGTTAGGGGCACGGAGGGTACCCAGGGCCACCTGATACGGCAGTCACCGGACAAAGCTCAGGAAACCTGGACCGTGGGTATTTTTTGAATGAAAAAAATCAAAGAAAGTTCCAAGGCCTGGGTCAGAAGGCAGGCAGTGCCGATACTAGGACTGGACAGGGAAAACCAGCCTGGGAAAGGCATTTTAGATCTTCCATACCCGGTTCAGACGACGGGGAAGTGAGGCGCTTGTCTAGAAGCAGGTGTAAGTAGAGACAGAAGTGCAAGAAAGTTTACATGGGAGCCGGGCGATGGTGGCACAAGGCTTTAATCCCATCACTCGGGAGGCAGAGACAAGCGTTTTCAGTTCGAGGCCAACCTGATCTAGATTTCCAGAATAGGCCCCAAAGCTACAGAGAAATCCTGTCTTGAAAACAAACAAAAAACCTCACAACAACACCTTTGTTGTTGTATGAACAACAACAAAGAAAAAAAGAAAATTAACATAGGCAAGAGTAGGGAATGTAGAAATGGCTCCTGAGTTTAGAAAACAAAACCAAAAACCTCAAGAGACTCAGAACACAATCTGTGACAGCAAGGGAGGAGAGGATGGAGTGTAGCTCTGCTGGTGAATGCTTGCCTAGCTTGTCTGGGTTCCATCCCCAGTGCTGCTGCAGAAGTGGGCTGTGGTTGCAGGGATACATGAGCCCCTGTGGAAAAGGGGCCGGGGAGTAGTGCTCTCTGACAAGCCAGATGCACACCGGACCACAGTGGTCGTTTATCCTATGCCACGTGGAAGTGTGGTGTATGAATAAACTGGAGAGTAAGTGAAGAAACTTGACACAAACTTTAAAGTCTCCAACTTCACTCCTGGTATGTGTAAACCGCAAAATGTCTGGCCCAGTTGTAGAAAATTAAACAAGATTGGGTTTATACAAATGAAATTACTAGGGGCCAGGGTAGCGTAGCTCAGTGTAGAGTTAAAGTTTAGCCATGCTCAGGGCCCTGGTTTCAGTCCTCAGAATGCAACAATACGTTCATATACATACAGGAAACAAACTGGCTAGTGTGTTGGTGCCAGCACTTGGAAAGCAGGGGTAGGAAAATCATGCATTTGAGGCTAACCTGGGCTACATAGAGTGATCCTGCCTCGAAAACAAAAAGCAGACTACATCCAAAATTTAAAAACAGATAAGTTACGTTTTCATATTCTCTGGTTCGCTAGGTCTTTTTTGGGTTTTGTGGTTACTATGGAGTAAGCTTAACCCCAAAATTGCATTCTTATAGTCACCCAGCTCTTCTGCTAAGCGTTTTATGCTGAGAAATAAGCCTTTGAGGTAGGTTAGATGAAGAATTGGAGGCTTTGGTTTTTCAAGATTGCACTAATACGTTGCAGGATTTGAATATAGTAGCCTAAGTCTAGAGCCTGCTCTTAAATCTTAGCTCTGAAGATTCTGGAATTCTTTCCAGAAGCAAATCCTCAGTATGTCAAATCCCCTGTGCATGTCATATGACTTGTAACAGATAGAAGGCTTGTAAAATCAGACTAAGTTAATTTTGTTACATGTTACCAGAGATTTCGGCCCTTGACTTTTAGAGTTGAAGGATCTGAAGTCACAGTATCTCTTAGATGCCCATTCTTGTTGAACATGTAAGCTGCTTAAGACTTTCATGGTGGCTGGATAACACTTTGCTAAACTTTTAAGTCAAGGTTGAGTTTATCTAGCTACTTACTTATCTACACACATAATACATATCATGTGTGTGTGTGTGTGTCTTGCTGGTGATGGAACCCAGGGCCTCAAGCATGTTGCGCAAATGCTGTACCACTGAACTGCATGTCCAGTCTGCTTTTATATATTCTGTTCAGTGTTAATCTTAAGAGGGATGAGGAAACTGAAAATGATGTTTTTGCTTTTGTGCAGAGGAGAGCAGCAGTGAGCAAGACAAGGTGGAGCTAGGCCAACCTTAGCTGTGGGCTGAATCAGCTTTCCCCCTGTGCATGTCATTCCTGGAGAAAGGCCCCTCATCTCTCCGTTGTCTTCTAGGATATTCGAGATTGTCCTGGACCCTTAAGCAAGCTCACTGAACTGAATACTAAGGTGAAGGAAAAGTTTCAACAGCTACGACACAGGATACAGGTATGTGAGGCTCCACACCGCTCTTCACTAAGGGCGGGTATTGGGGTGAGAGCTTAGACCTCGGATAGCCTTTGCGTGAGAGTTGACCAGGTTCCTCACATGCCACACGGAGATAGTAGTAAACATTGTTACATTAGGGTGACTGGACTATCAAAGATTGGAGCCTATGCACTTGTTCCCTGCCTGAGTCTGTCACCAACATGTCCTGGGTGTTCTTCTTGCTGTCATTTTCGCAGTCACCGCCTTGTAGTTTCTGCAGTCACAGCTTCCATCTTGTGCTCATCACACCTGACTTTCCCATGGTGCATGTGCTGTATCAGAACACAAGAGAGTAGGGAAGGGACCTGTGAGTAGCAGAGCCGTCCACTGCTGCGCTCTCGGGAAGACTACTAGGAATCTGCCCATCACTGGGTGGGGCTAGGACCACCTGGGTTTTGTTTTTTCTGTTTATTTATGTATATTTTTAAAGCAATCTTTGCTCATTTTACATACCAATCCCAGTTTCCATTCCTTCCCCTCCTCCCGTTCCCCTCACCTCCTCCCCCCCAACTCCACCTCCCAGCCAGTCCTTAGAGAGGGTAAGGCTTCCCATGGGGAGTCAATAAAGTCTGACACATCACTTTGAGGCAGGACCAAGGCCCTCCCCTACTATATCTAGGCTGAGCAAAGTATTCCACCATAGAGAATAGGCTCCAAAAAGCCAACTCATGCACTAGGGATAAATCCTGGTCTCACTGCCTAAGCCACACAACTGTCACCCACATTCAGAGGGCCTAGTTGAGGACCCCCTGGTTTTGCTGCACGTAGTAAATGACCTTGTCCCAAAGCTGTCCTTCAGCTCTTGAGTTGCTTAGCAGATAGAAGTCTCTTGCAGAGCCACTGGGAAGTCAGCAGGTTGACAGCTTGAGAGGGCTTCTTGTTCCCTTCCTGAAGGGGTTTCCAGGGCAGGTGATTCCTGCCTTTGGAGATGACTTTAGAATTTCAGCACTGTGGCTGTACCTAGGTGATCACCATCTCCAGCACGGCTTCCTCCATCTGAACTTTTGAAAAATACTGCATCTTGTGTGTTATATTTGTATGTGTGCGTGTGTGTATCCACAGCTGTTAGTCTCGGTTATGTGTCTTGCTAATGTCCTCTGTTCTCTGTGCCTCTTTCAAATGCACTGTTTCATTACTCTCATGTCTTCTCAGAGTTTGTCTTCCTCAAGATTACAGATATTTTTTGCATTGTTTCCCCTTCTGGGAATGGACATGCCACAGCATTGAGTCTCCAAGCCTACCTGTGTCTGGATGACCTACCTTCTCTTGAACAGCCTCCCCGCCTTCTTATAAAGTTGTAGTTCTCTTCTAACCATTTTTCTACCAACAGGCATTCATCTGGACTGCTTCCATGTTTTAATTCTTTTTTTTTAATTAATTAATTTATTTATTTATTATGTACACAATATTCTGTCTACATGCATGCCTGACTCATTACAGATGGTTGTGAGCCACCATGTGGTTGCCGGGAATTGAACTCATGACCTTTGGAAGAGCAGGCAATGCTCTTAACCACTGAGCCATCTCTCCAGCCCCCCATGTTTTAATTCTTAGAGCTAATTTGTTTTCTTAATGTCTTTCTTCAACTCTTCAATTCTTAACTACTACTGTTGTATAAGTACCTGCATGTTTACCTGGTGTTTATTTCCTCCTCTAATTTTAAGTAATTATCCTCATCAATACATTTACATATTTGTTATGCTCTTACCGCTGGTTACAGCCTCTCCTTAAGCATAGACAGCATCTAGCAAGGTGTAGGCCAGCGAGTGACTAGCCCCATCCTAGCTCTCATCTGCATTTCCTTAGCTTTTGCATGCTCTGTATTTTCCTGAAAACACAAAAGCACTCGAGTGAATGTCTCTTTTGTGTATTTCAACAAGGGTGCCTGTGAGCAGAGGAGAACTGGCCTGTGTCTTCTGAATATGCTAGTTCCTACACAGTTGGTATTGGCGTGGCTGTGTGCAGATGTCCGTCTGTGCATTTGTGTTTCTTCAGCTGGGATTGGAGAATAACAGTGCACCTTTCATCTCTCCGGAGATAGCAGGTTCTCTGTGACAACTTCCAAGCAGCCTCTTCTAAGGAAATTGTGCATTTCTCCTTCTTTCTGTCTCCCTTCTTCCTGTTCACCCATTCTTCACTGAGATCAGTGTAGCAAAAAATAGAACACAGGGCTCTTTGGGCAGTGACTGCATTGTCAGGAATGAGAATTCTAGACAAAAAAAATTACGTCTTATTACTGGTAACATTTGCACTTCTACCCATTTTTCCCCTTGAGACAGAGTCTCGCTATGAAGCTCTGGCTATACCGAAAGTCACTATGTAGACCAGCCTGGCCTCAAACTCACTGAAATCCAACTGCCTCTGCCTCAAGTACTGGGATTAAAGGCGTGCGCCACCACGCCTAGTTATACTTGTTTTAATTCACAGTCAATTATTCTTTTTTATTCTTTAGCAGTATGGGGGGGGGTGGGCAGAATAAACTTTCAGAAGTACTTTCTGAGCTGTTGAAGTGATACAGAGATACACATGCTTGTTCCAAACCAGCACATGCAAATTTATATAGGAATGAGTTGATTCTTCTCTAGATAAACTAATATGTTGATGTTTTAGCCCTATGGCTTGCTTGAAAGTGAAACTTGTGATTTGTAAATTAAAGCTAGGACCTGAGGCTTCTTTACAGTGTGTGTGACGGCTCCTGCAGCTCAAGTTCTTGGTCTGATGCCGTTGATCATGTCTGCTCTCCCTTGCTCGTGGTAGACTCTTGTTGGGGGAGGCTGCTCGTTCATTCCCAGCCACTCAGACCCAAAATGATCACACAGAAACTATGTTATTTGTGGTTCTGTTTGGCCAACGCTTACGCATATTTTTAGCTACTAACCCGTCTCCATTAAGCTGTGCATCACCACAAGGTTGTGGCCTACCAGCAAAGTTTTGGCATGTCTCCTCCGCTGGCTGCTACGTGGCACCTCCCTGACTCTGCCTACTCTCTATATCTTTTCCAGCCTGGCTATATTCTGTTAAGCCATTGGTCAAAAGCAGCTTCTTTATTCATTAACCCATAAAAGCAACACATATACAGAAGGACTTCCCACACCAGACTCTTTCCCTGGTATTTGGTATTCTGAATCATGTGTGCTTATCTTCTGTATGCCTTTCCTGGAGCCTCTGCAACCTGGTCGTACCTCTCAGTCTCCAGGGATTATCACAAGTCTGGGGATACTGTTTATGTTAATTTCTCTTCTCTGCAGTTCTCAAATCACTCAGGAAAGATAAATCATCCCCCTACCCAAAGTCCATAGGGTACCCCCTGCCATTCACTTCACAACCAAAATAAAATAAACCAGACAAGTGTCCACCAGCTCTACTGTTGAGTAGACATCCCAGACTGTTTTACAGCTGCTGGAAGCTTCTGTGGGTCCTGGGTTTGTGACAGTTTCAGTTCAGCTTCAGCCTCAGGTGGCCTTAGGCATCAGTGTTATGTTCACAAATAAGTCGAAACCCATGGGCAATGTTTGGAAACATGTAATAGTGTGGTATCCTTCTGGTATTGTGCTGGGATCTTGTTTTGTTGTGTCTGGTTTTTTCCTTTAGTTCAGGCAGTGTCAAGGTTGTAGGAGTGGCAACCCCTGCTCCAGTGAGGGCAGCCTTTCTAGAGCTGACCACACCAGCACCCTGCTTCCTGTTCACCTTTGAGCTGCCAATTTCTCCTTCTCTTTCTTAAAAGATTTGCCTATATGTTTAAAAGGATATTTGATTGTTTTGGACATGCTCCCTCCCACTCCCAAGTGTCTGTTGTAAAAGATACTTAGTTGTTTTTGTGTGTCTCTATTGGAAACAGAAGCACTGTGGCTAACAGCTGTTTTCCCCTCCAAGGAGCTTGAGCAATCAGCAAGGGAGCAAGACAAGGAGTCGGAGAAGCAGCTTCTACTTCAGGAAGTGGAGAACCACAAAAAGCAGATGCTCAGGTAGGCGGGGTAGCCTACAACCACCTCTGCTGGGTCGCATGCTGATTGTGAAGCTTGTCCATGTGTTTATCTAATAAGCCCAGCTTAATGGTGATGTCGTGGTATCATTAACACACAGGCTGAAAGTTCTCTAGATCAGTCAGTCTCAAACCGGGAGTCTGAGGAGCTAAGGGGATAAGTGGAGTCTGCACGGACATTTGGAGCTGTGTGTGTAAAGTGCTCACAGTGTTGATATGTTTGCAGAGTTGGCCTCACACTGCACTGTATATATTCATGTATTTTAAAATACTGTGGGTGTGGGAGTTGTGTGTGGAGTCGGTTCTTTCCTGCCATTTGTCAGGCCTGCAGACACGCACCTCTGTCCTCTGAGCCTCTCGATGGCCCTTGTTCTGTCTTTTATTTTTTGAGACAGGGTCTCTTGTATTCAAGTTGTCCTCAAACTCAACATATAGCTAGGATGACCTTGGATGTCTGATCCCCCTGTTCCTACTTCCCAGGTGCTGGGGACACAGGCATGGCTCACCACATATTTATGTGGTGCTGAGAATCAAAGCCAGGGTTTTGTGCATACTAGGGCAAGCACCGCACCAATGGAACCACACCCCAAACCCATCTTTTGTATATTTGAAAACAAAAATGTAATTACTTTTGGAGGCTAGAGAGATGGCTCAGCAGTTTCAAATGTGCACTGCTCTTCTAGAGGACCCAAGTTCAATTCCTAGCACCCACATCAGACAGCTTCCAACTGCCTGTAACTCCAACTCCAGTGGGTTCTGATGCCCCTCACCTCAATAGGCAATTATGTGCACACACACACACACACACACACACACGATTAAAATAATAAAAATTAAACTTCTAAAAACTTGATTACTTTTGTAATACAGGGTAAATTTTATTCAAGAATAATTGGTATGTGGAAAGCTCACTGAAAGTGAACATACTCAAGATAGACCAAAATATAGCTTCCAGTGTGGCATTATTGAAATGAATGATACACAGAAATGTGAATTTATATTAGAATTGAGATTTTGGTGACACTGCAGCTGTGTGCTAATCTTTGATCATAAAGCCATTTCTTAGTCTCTTAATTAGGGACTATAACTTTTTTTTTTTAAACAATGTCTGGGAACATGAATCACTGTTTCTCCCTCCAGGTTGGACTTTGTGCTATAACCCAAAGGGCCTTGTTACTGCAAACACGCCTTTCCCAGCCCCGTGGTGTTGAAGGCCCGCTCAGCAGTCTTTGCTGCATCAGAGTCCCCGTAGGTTCCTTTGTCACAGCTATATACTCACGGTTTCCTCTCTGGCTCGGCTGGCAAGAGAGACCGACCAAGACAGGGGAGTGAGTGGTGCAAGTGTGCCTGGCCCATCGACGGTGGCTTTTTATGCCACACGGGTTCTCAGATTGTAAGCATGAACTCATGAGGAGTGCACGCGCGCAGTGTAGTAAGCTGCACCAAACACCGTCCGTTTAGTGGGGTCTTAAAGCTTGGCTGTCCTGGCGTGACGTGACGTTAAAGGTTTGAGGAAAGAAAGCGTGGAATTACTGTTTCTCAGGTTATCAGGTTCGTCATTCTGTTTAGTACTTGCTTTCTTCCCTCCCTAATACATGTGAGCTCCCTGAAGACAGGCTCTCAGCTCTGCACCCTGGGCCTTACTGATGTAGTTGATTGTTTGAAATGGCAGGTGTGGAATGGGCTGGTAGGCGTGCAGTATCTGAGAGCCACACTGTTTAGGCTGGGCAGCCTGGTGGAGCCACCAGGACCTCATGTGTGACCCTTCTTTTTCCAGCAACCAGACCTCATGGCGGAAAGCCAATCTCACCTGCAAAATTGCCATCGACAACCTGGAAAAAGCAGAACTTCTGCAGGGAGGAGACTCCTTGAGGCAAAGGTATCTTCTTTTGTCCCCTTGGCTCTGATAACATAACATCTAAGCACCATGTGAGGTGGCTTTTTGATTTCATAACATTTGTACTTTATGTAGTACATAAGTTCTTTTTTTTTATTTTGAGAACTGGGTCTCATACATCCCAATCTGGTCTCAAACTTCATATGTAGCTGAGGATAGCCTTGAACTTCGGATCTCACAGGTGTGACCTCCACACCGAGTTTATGCGGTTCTGGAGATCCAAGGCTTCGTGCATACTAGGCAAGCACTCCACCAACCAAGTACACCCAATTGACTAAAATTGGTTTTTGGTTTGGGGATTTTGTTTGTTTGTTCGTCGTAATGGGGTTGAACCTAGGGCCTCATGCATGAAGGGCAAATACTCTACCACTGAGCTAACTCCCAGTCCTCCCTGACAGTTTTTAAGACCCTTCTTTTAACTGCACATGCATAGTGTCCGTTATTAACCAGTCCTGCTGGCGTGTTTGCATTTCCACCTTTTTAGTATCGTATGATGCGTCAAGGCAGGTTTTTGTCCGGTTCTTTTGAGCAAGTTCTCTGGGAATGAGTGAGCATTTCTGAGTCTCTTGGTCCATAGTGCAGATTGGCTTACAGACGGCAGCACGGTTTCCATTCCTCCCAGCAGGGCTCGAGGACGTGGGCTCAGGATACAGCCTTAGCCACACTGACTGTTGTTTCAGAAACGTGCAAACCCAGTGGTGGTGGTGCACGCCTTTAATCCCAGCACTCGGGAGTCAGAGGCAGGTGGATCTCTGTGAGTCAAGTCCAGCCTGGTCTACAGAGCTAGTTCCAGGACAACCAGGGCTTCATAGTGAGACCTTCTCTTGAAAAAACAAAAGAAGAAGGAAGAAACATATGCTAACTGTCTGTGTGGTACATATCTGTAATCCTAGTACTCACAGGTGGGGGATGGGCTGAGGTGGTGACAGTCTGCCCTCTGGGCCAAGCTGAACTACATTTTGAGACCTTGTTTCAAAGCACAAACAGAAAAAGTACTAATGTGGTAGGTTGAAAATGGTGCTTTTCACAAGCTCGGCTTTTGTTGCTATTGTTCCTTCCTCTGGACTTTCAGGAAAACTACCAAAGAGAGTTTGGCGCAGACTTCCAGCACCATCACAGAGAGCCTCATGGGGATCAGCAGGATGATGTCACAGCAGGTGCAGCAGAGTGAAGAGAACATGCAGACTCTAGGTAAGGAGTAGATGCTGCTCCAGAACGCACGCCTGGCACCTCTGTGGAGCCCCCTGGCTCTCCCCACCCAAACTGTGCCTTAGGACATGATGAGACTGTCCGGTCTTGTGGGAGGGGGGAGCAGGATGCTGTCTTCCTCTCCTTCAGCTGTGCAGCTGTGCTAGACACGCCCTGTGCCATCATTCCTCCCTGAGGAAGCATTGCTAGGCTCATGTGAAAAGCAGAAATGGCTGGCCTCTTTAGAGATGGTGTCTGTCAGCAGTGCTTGCAAGAGGTCTGGGAATCTGGTTTTTAGCGTGGGCTCATGGGCTTAGTATTGCCAGACAGGTTTGGGAATTAGGACCACTGGCAAAACCATTACTGTGAGTTTCTTTTAAATGTAACAGCTAGAGGCCACAGAGGAGGCTGTTGGAGACCGGCACATTCTTGCCAAGTGTCTTCCCACCTTAGCTCCTTCGTAGAGAATTTGTCTTTCTAGGGCCCTTCAATTGTGGGAAACAGGAAAGGAGTTTGCTCTTTGCAAGATTTCACGTGTCAGCTGAAGTAGACAGTGAGGCTTGGTAAATGCTCAAACCTACCACCTTGCTTTCATCATGGCTGTGTTTCATTTCTACCCTTACTTCATCCTCTAGTCGAGACATCATCCATGAAAATAGCTCAGCACATCTAAAAGCTAATGATAAGGGGCTGGAGAGATGGCTCAGTGCTTGAAAGCAAGCACTGCTCCTGAAGAGGACCCAACCACACACACATCAGCCAGCTGCCAACTCATGCTCCTATACCCACACAGATATGCACATACCTAGCAATAGTAAAAATAAATCTCACCTGCCTGACTCAGGCGCTGGCCTTGTTGACAGACAGACAGACAGACAGACAACGTATTGAGCTCCTCTTTGTCTGGGTGGCACAGTCTGAATCAGACCCCTTTCCTTCTGTTGCAGCCAGCTCTTCACGGACTCTCCTAGATGCAAATGAAGAGTTTAAATCCATGTCGGGGACCATCCAGCTGGGCCGGAAGCTCATCACAAAATACAACCGCCGCGAACTGACGGACAAACTTCTCATCTTCCTTGCCCTGGCCCTGTTCCTTGCTACAGTGCTCTATATTTTGAAGAAGCGCCTCTTTCCATTTTTGTAAGGGAGGGATGCCAGCTATGGCCCTTTTATACTCCTGATTGCAGGTCAGGGCTCTCAAGGACTGGCCGCCAAATTGGGCTGCTCATTCCCTGCGGTTTTCCCCTGTGCTAAGTACACCCAGCCAAGGAAGCACAGCAGTTTCCAGTTTCCTGCAAGAAGCTGCTTGGAAAGGGCGAATGCACTAGAGGAAAAGGAAGCCTTTGGGTAGAGGCACTCCACGTTACTCAGCTCCCAAGCATGGTGCTGCCACAGGGAGCATCTCAACTCTGGGGTTTGATGCACCTCCTCCCTCTGTGTCAAGGCATAAATGCTAGATCAGTGGAGAGAAGAAAGAGGAGCCTGTGGGAGGGAAGGTGATGAGAGCTCATGGCTGTTTCCTGAATAAACCTCATTTATTTAATGAAGTGATAAATGTTTAATTTTACAAGGTATCTCTCTAGGAATGCCCTTACTTCATCATGTCCCTATTCCTAGGACATGAGCTTAGATTATTCATTCAACAAGGAATTACTGAGGCCAGAAAGAACACTTGCTGCTCTTTTAGAAGACCAGTGTCCAATTCCCAGTACCTCTTGGGGATTCACAGCCACCTCTAACTCCAATTCCCGGGGATCTGATGCTCCTTATAGGCCCCAGGCATCACATAGCGTGCTTACAAACATACAAGCAAACACTCAGATGCATTAACTTTTTGTTTAATTTATTGAGGGTGAGACAGTGCAGCTGGTAGAGGCACTTGCCAATAAATCTGATGACCTGGGTTCCATCCTCACGCTCCATCCACAGGCCCCACAGGTGGAAGGAGAAAACCAGCTGCAGGAAGCTGTGCAGCTGTGGCACCCCACATATACACAAATAACTAAAAGAAAAAGAAGTGTGGATCAGCTGCCACAGGCTGATTCCTCGACATTGCCAGACATTACACACACACACTTGTTAAGCTGACACGCTCCCTCCAGCAGCAACAGAAGTGAGATGTCAGGATGGGAGACTACAAACAGCCGCCATTGGAGCAGCCCACCAGCCTGGCAGGGCCTGGGGCATCGTGACTGAGGGGCTTGCTGGCTCCCTTCTCTTTGAGGTTCAGACTAAATGTGGCAGAGAGAGAAGCCAGTACTGCTGATGCCCAGCTATGCCCACTTCTGTCCATGCCAGATACATGTTCCCAGCTAGACCAGCCCTGCAAGTGCCAGCATTCCCCAGCTTGGCCGGTCTTGTTCTTGAAGTTTTTCCTGCACTGCTCACAGCCCTGGAGGACCTGGAGGCAGAGAGGAACGGAGGCACATGGCCTGGAGCTGGCACTCAAACGTGCAAACCACATGGCCCAAGCAGACTGCCTTCTGCTGCTGTCAGTTTCCACACCCACACAGTGGGAGTGGTGGTCCACAGAGGGCCAGTCTGAAAGGGAGAGGCAAAGTAGTGGGTGTGGCTCCCTCATTACTGATCCCTCATCCAGCTCAAAACGCTGGGGACTCTGAACCCTGAGAGTCCTACAGCCGCAGCAGAAAGCCTTCCTTGAGGAGCTGCCGGGGGCGGGGGGGGGGGCAGCTCTGTTTAGACCCCTTTGAGCAGCGGGTACCAGCGTTAAAGCTGCTGCGAAGGGACAGATCATCTTGGGACTGAGTATGTGCCACTGGCTGTGTGTACTAGACTGAAGTGCTGAGTCCACTGTAAATGGAAAGGCGTTTGTGTCTGTGTCACAGAGAGTGATGGGAACTGCCACCCCGTAGTACCGACTCCTACACACTGGCACTGGGAAGACTCCTCAGGGAGTAGTGGCCGGTCGCCTATACAGAGAGCACATGCTGGGTCGACTGCTGGAGCAGAACAGTGAGATTTCTATTAAGGAAGGTGTACAACTAAAAACCCATGAACTGCTCAGTTCTGGAATTTTCCATTTTATATTTTCATCTGTGGTTGGCCATAGAAAGCTAAAGTCATGAAAAGCAAAATCATAGATAAGGTATGTATAGGAGGAATCTCTCTCTCTCTCTCTCTCTCTCTCTCTCTCTCTCTCTCACACACACACACACACACACACACACAATTCTTGGCCTCCAAAGGCTCATAGTGCAAATTATGCACACAAATTATAGTCAGATGCAGCTAAGCACGCAGCACTGAGGGGCAGCCCCCACTCGGATTCCGGCTGTATGCGGCAGATGGAGGTTATCAAGGGTTTTCTTGCCCGAACATTGCTCTTTACTCTTCCCACTAATTGTCAGCCTCCTCGTGATGTGGAAACATGTAGGCTCCGCACTCCCTAGAAATCCTCGCTTCCACACTTTATGCCTTTTACTTGCCTCCTGAAGACAGTCTGGTTTGCCCTGTTTAGGGGGTCATCTGGAATGCATCTTGAACCCCATCAGCAGCCTGAGTCTTCCTCACCCGCTTAGCTGTGCAGAAAGCAGCCTTCCACACTCAGCCAGGAGGGGGCAGTGTCCACACTTACTCTGCATTCCTGTAGGTGGTGTGATAATTTCCACAGACTGGAATACTCCAATACCCCTCTTTTAAAATGGGGGAAGGGGTGAATAAAACTAAATATGTAAGACCTCCCCGTGATTAGGTTGAGATATGTTTCATAAGTTCCTTTAATATTTAATTAAACAATAAGGCAAACTCATATACTATATTTTGATTGACAGATGGTAATGGTGTTAAAAATCCAGAACGGAATATTCAAGGGAATACTCATTTAAGAGGCATTTGCTGAGCCCCTATTTTATACCCATAATGTGTCATGGAGCTGTAGTGTGCGGCAAGGGCCAACAGATGATAAATGATGTGTATACTAAATATGTCATTTATTATGTTAGAAAACAAAGCAGGCTTTCTGTATCCTTGGGTTCCCCATCTGCAGGTTCAATCAACTTTACACTTAAAAAAGGAAAATCATATGTATAGACTTTACTTGCCATTATCCCCTGGATGGTGTAATGTAACAAGTACTTTTCTAGCAATTACACTGCTCAGGATAGCAAGGAAGAACTGAGTGTACAGGGGAAAGTGGCTCAGCTTAAGTGTCTGGGGTGGAGGAGAGAGGCCAGGTGTGCAGTGGTCAGGGCCGAGTGTGGTGGCACACACTTTTAGTCTCGGCGCTCAGGAGGCAGAGGCAGGTCAGCCTGGTCTACATGCCGAGTGCCCTTCCAGGCAGAGCTCTATGGTGAAAGTCTGTCTTTAAAAGAGTTAAAAAAAAAAAAAAAAGGAAAGAAGTACGCAGCTGATAGATGAGGACCAGCAGCCCAGCAGGCCTGGGGAAGCCGGACCAGCCCCCAGATGGCACACCGTCTTGTTTTTCCCACTTCTCTGGCGGCTCTCCTTTTGTTGTTCATTTTCGGAACACCCTAAATGCCCACTTAGATCTCGCTGCCTCTGCCTTGTCCTGTACTGTCTCAAAGCCGGGGTCCATAGACCCGCAACCTTAGTCGTTTACAGGAAAAGCATCAACACTCCCCGAATTCTAGGGCAAGGCAGCCTTCGCAGGAGCTCAGAGCCCGCAGGCACCTGTGCTTCTGTCCACACCCCACCCCCTGCCCCCTTTCCCCGGCTCTGCCTTCCCCTAACACTTCTTCCTGGATCTGGTTAGGGCTAAGGATATGCCATCCCAAAATCCGAGTGTGTGAGACCAGTGCTGCTCAAGACAGACTCCTTCCTGAGGATGACGATTTAAGGTCCTCTTGCAGAGGACCTGGGTTCAGTTTCCAACCTCACATGACTCTTCAAGCTATCAGGAACTCCAGTTCTAAGGAGTCCGAAGTCCTCTTCTGACTTCTGTGGGCTCAGGCACAGACATACATACAAGCCAGACATTTATACACATAAATCTTTATAATATTTTTGTTTGGTTTGGGACAGGGATGTCTCTACATAACACTAGCTGTCCTGGAACTCGCTCTGTAGACCAGGTTGGCTTTAAATTCAGAGATATACCTACCTGCCTCTGCCTCCTGAGTGCTGGCATTAAAGGTGTGTACCATCATCCCCGGCTTAAAGTTTTGTGTGTGTGTGTGTGTGTGTGTGTGTGTGTTTAAGACAGCAATACAAATTATTTTTTCTTCCTGGCTTTACTTACAGTGGTCTTCCCTGGGCCCTACTCACAGCTTTGTCCAAGCTGCGCTTGAACAAGGACAGAATAAAAATAGCTGTAGCTATCTAAGAGATAGACGGTCTGGCAGTGCTGTCAGGGATGAAGGGCTGCAGCCTGGGGCTGGGGGGTGTTATCACCCCATTGTCCTTGCAGCCTCCAGCAGTGGGCTCAGGCTACACAAGGCATCCAGGGGCCCAGAGTGCTGGGCATAATGTTTATGCATTTGGCTCTTTAAATGGGCATGGTAACATGGTCAGGGAGACTTAAGTCCTATTTGTGCTCTCCCTGACCTGTGTCCCCAGGGGTCATAGGCATCACCGTCTGTGCTGTGATTTCCTTATCTGTGACTAGAGCCCCTCTGCATAGAATAGTTTCTCAGGGGGCCCGGGAGGACCACAGAAAAACCACAGCAGCCGCTCACATGCCAGCAGCTCACGTCACTGTGTACCACCAAGCAAAAGCAAATGGCTTCATTCTGCTTTCTCAACTGGAGGAAAGTGTGCCTAGATACAGAGGAAGTTTCTGGAATTGGAGAGGACTCAGGACCAGTTGTGATGGTTAATCTTTGTTGCGGGAGGTCCTCCCACTCCTCCAGCCTATCACCGCTGAGGTACCAGCCCATTGGGGCGTGGTTTCTCTCCCTTTAAAAAAGCGGCCACTTCCCTCTCCTCTCTCTCTTCACTTCCTGCTCCGCCGGCGACTAGACTCACTTCCTGGTTGCGTAGAGGGCTGTTGCCTGGGACAGTGATCTGTAAGTTTTTTCCCCTTTAAATAAATACCACCCTAATAATCATAACCCCGAATTGGTGTGGCATTGTTTGTGACTTACGCCTTCATTTTGGCACCCAACGTTTGGTTTCAGAACCTCTCCTTTCCCCCGCTCGCAGCCGCGAGTTTGGCTTGGCGGCCACGAGTCCGGCTTGGCAGCCACGAGTTTGGCTAGGCGGGAGCCCTCCCTTCCTCAGCCACCGCCTGTGCCTTGCAGCGGTGGCCTTGGACTCCACACGTGGATTTAAACTCCACAGGCCCGCATAGTCTCTGCCCGTGTGGTTTGGTTTGCTCTTTTCTGAGTCATTTTTAAATCTCCCTTGCAAGTACAGCTCTTAAGTGGCACGAACCAGAGCACGCGGTTGCTGAAAGCTGCAACCCCTCAGGGTGACTCTGTCACGTGGAGGCATAAGCGGCTTCCAGATTGCTCTTCTCTATCCCTGGATTCTGGGTTTCTGGTTCCGTCTCAGGAATTGATTTAATTACATTTACTTTGTTGAGAAACTTGCATTTTCCAGTTTTTAACATCTACTAAGGCACTGAAAC